ATTCCAGAACGCCATTTGTTAGTGATTTTCTATCATTAGTATTATTTAACTGAAATATGATTAAATTTATTGACCAAAAGTGATCATGTTGAATATCGAACAAGTTAGGATGGTGTAGGAGTGCACACTTGTTCAAGTTTTTCAAGCTTCAAAGTACGTTGTTATTTAGGGGCGAAGCCCCTAAACGAACAGGGGTCCGGAGGCGGCAACCTCTGGCGGGATCCAAGGGACAAAGATACTTTCTGGTAGTTTTTTATGACAGTTCGTAACTGTCTAGTGATAGTTTTCAAACATGAATCATATAATTGTTTTGGTCATTTTCTGATACATCTTGAAGAACATTTTTACACAGGCATTCTCTGATTTCATATCTCTGAATTTCATCAAATTAAGTGTTCGATCTGTATCATCGAAATACTTCATTTTGATAGTGAATCACGCTTTTTAGAGAATCCAAGCAATCTATTCATCCCCTATTTTTAACACCGTTTCGGATCAACAATCCGGAGTACCATTCTGGGAAATTCTACACATTTCAGACGTGTTCTACATATTCCAAACACGATCTTCGTATTCTGAAGTCGTTCCGGACATTTCAAAATTATAATTTTTCCAAAAATTATTGTTCTAGTGCACACATAATCCTATAATTGCCTAAAAACTACTAAAAATCGAAGGAAAACGAAAAATACATATGTAATCGCATCAATTCACACAAAATAAACGAAAATATATACTGTTTAACATATAATCTTAAATGAATATGTATAATATAAAAATAATGGAAAGATACCCACAAAAAATGAATATCTTTATTGCTAGAAGAAAACATTGTTTGAGTTGGTTTGGTGTCCAAAATGTTGTCTGGAATGAAGGTGAGTTCAAAATGAAGTCTAAAATAGGTTCGAAATGTTATTTATAAGGGGACCACGTTACCAGGTGAAAATGTTATTTATAAGGGAAATCTTTTCACTACTATACCCATTTACCTATTACGAAATACGGGATAATTCCGGACAGAAATGTTATTTTTCAAAATTACTTTTATTGCAGTTATTTTTAAAATAATTAAAAAAAAAAGAATTACAAAATGGTTAGTTTACTCAATTTCTCATTGAAAAATCTCTATTTTAATAAAAGAATAGTTTTATTCTCCTTTTGACATGTATCACCTTACTAGACATTCTAATTAATACATATTTTATTCTTTTTTTACCATGTATCACCCTATTATCTAAACTAATTAATATTTTTCACTTATCAATCTATTTATTCTTCATTTCAAATTTCAAAATTTAAATATTTCACTCTATCTATATTAAATTAATAACATTAAAATAAAATTAATACAAAATGATATAATTTCATAAATTTATTTAAATCAATGATTATAATTTTATATAACTAAAAGAATCTCTTAATTAATAAGTTGTTTAAAATAATTGATTAATAACTTTGAGTTTTTACTATAAAAAATTAATTAATTTTGTAGTCGTGGTTTTCATGTGTTATAAACTAGTCTATCTAATAATTAGAAAGTTGTCCAAATTAATAAATGTCTTTAATGAATACTTATTACCAAATGACTTTTACAATGTCAAAAGTTTATGAAATCTACTAGTTTCTACGACAATAGCCGTTATATGATTGATTAATTTCTTGATAAGTAATGTGCATGATCACATTGCTAATCGACTAGTAATAATATGTTTCAATTTAACATTGTATTCAAAGTATGATTGCCAACCATTAATATACAATGTTTAATAGTTCTATATTGTTGGATATTAGTGATATTTTAGTTATATTACGTCATAACAAAATATTTTTTTAGACGCATGTGATTTAGGTAGTACATGTAAAATCAAGATTTAAACTATATTAGTAATATCACCAACAATATCCCTCCCATCCCATTCCTATAGATTCGTGACATACTCATTTTCGTCGGCTCACTCATTCCCATAGTTTAACTCCATCTTACTCAACACACTATCCAACATACTATTTAATTGACAATACTCATTTGGGGAAGAACAAGCAGGAGTGATCAGATGGGTTCAAATATACAATCGAGGATGTTATTGTTGGAGGGGGGATCTTCATAGGTGCCATGGCCAGAACATGGACGGATCATATCGACAAGGATAACTAATAGTTTTTATAATATTGAAGGTTTTATATTCTTACTTGTGGGAAGTGGTTAAAGATACGACAAAATGTCTTATATTATGCTTTTTTTATTTCATCGTGGTAACATGTTGGGTGTAAACTAATACCCAACTTGGTTATATGCTTTAATTGGTTATAAAAAGTGTGACAAAGTGATGAACTGATGATCAGCTTAATCACAGAACAGATACAAGCAAAGAGAGGAACAGAGATGGCAACAACATGTGTACTTTCCAGTATAAAGTGTTCGACTAATAATCATCCCAGAAGTGTTAAAGTAGGAGATCTTAAGACTGCACTCTCAAGTATAGTTAAGGTATTCTATATAAACTCAAAATTACTGAAATTCATCCTTCTATGTTATAATAGTCATGCGCATCAAGAACAATATATAAGTAGAATCGTAGATATATAGTCATAATTTTCTTTCATCAATAAATTTCTCCTTCCCAAAAAATACCCTGACAGAAGTTGAAGAACCTGTTAGTTTTAATTTGTTAAATGAATGATATGGATTAACCTTTGTAAACTTGTAATAACTAATAAACAAATTTCTTAACGTGTTTATAGCTTTATATGTTTTGTTGTATAATGAGCAGCTATCAAAACAAAAGCTGGAGAACTCAACCCTCAAAATTGAAGCTGGTAAAGCTATCAAGGCTGCTTCATTGGCAATGTTAAACACACTTGTAGATTCCATCTTTGAGTTTGTGGATCAACCCATGCTTCCATCTGAGGTATATATATATATATATATATATATTATATATATATATATTATATATATATTATATATATATATATATATATATATATATATATATATATATATATATATATATATATATATATATATCCACTCTTCGCATGCAAAATAAGAAATTTTATTAATTTTAACTAATTTTTTTTATTGTGGACAATACATGAGTCATGAGTGTTGATTATAGACTTAAGTCACTTAACAGAGAATGCCTACACAAATTGCTGAAAAAAGTACCCATGATCGAAAACATAGTGAACACAAATGCTTATCCGGTCATAGATATTTCAACGCGAACTGGTACCCCATTTAATTATTTGATTACCATAAGCTTAATCTGCTCCCACAGCCGGCGTTTTTCAGGCTCTGAAACTGAAATTCACGGATTTAATTATTTTATCGATAGGAACCTCCAAAGTCCAGTCGTTTTACTTAAATGGTGCTACTAGTGGAATTTATTATTCCTCAAATATGGCGCGGCTATTCTTTTATATATTGGTGTTGTTGCATTCCCTGAATGCCAAAATAAATAAGTTAGATTTTTTTGTTTTTTTTTTAATTAAATTAACTTGATTTTGTAAAATATATTTTAAAAAAAAAAAAAAAAAAAACTAATAACATAAAGAGTATTATATTTTGTTATGTTTTCAATTGTAACCACCGAATTTTAACTTGTGTTAAAAAGTTAATAGAGACCAATTTTACTTCATTTTTTGTTTTTCAAAAAAACTATTCAAATCTTGAAAAAAAAAATTCAATCACATATAGTCATATACTATTATTAATTTTTTATTTTTTTATTTCTAGGTCTTATTTTTATCAAAAAAGTAAATACATAAAAAAAATTATAATTTTTTTCCTCTATAAACAAATTTTATATCGATACATGTTGATGTCAAATCACAAAATTCATTTTTTGTATTAAAAGTCATTGGGGTTCGGCTTGGTTTTTTTCGAATGAAAACGTATCCAATTTCCATTTCAGTTTTTTTAGTGTAAAAAACTATTTAATTTTGTTTTTTTGGGGTTAAAACAATCCCACCCACAAATTTCAATCAAAATTTCAATAACCATGAATATTCAGCAAAAATTAGTCAAAACAGGTACCTGATATATATATATTATATATATATATATATATATATATATATATATATATATATATATATATATATATATATATATATATATATATATATATATATATATATATATAGAAAGAGAGAGAGAGAGAGAAGGTTTGTGAAAAGTTGCGAACTCATAAGTAACTTATCGTTTTTCAACACCAAAAACACAAATCTTCTCCTAATGATGCATTTAAACCATATCTAAACTTAAAAAATGTTGAATTTTATTATTATTATTTTTTTTTGGTTTTGTATGACTGCTGATGAGCACAATCAACAATTGTACGGACTGCTGATGAACACAATTAACAGTAATATAGACCGCTGATGAGCACAATCAGCAGTCATATGGACTGATGATTGTTCATCAACACTCTATATGGTTGTTGATTGTGAACATCTACACTCTATATGATTGTTGGTTGTGAACATATATCCGTATAACTGTTGATTGGGCATACATCAGCAGTCATTTAGACGTACCATTTGGAGAAAATTGATGTTTTTGGTGTAAAAAAATGATGAGTGTACTATGATTTTATAAGTTCACATGTTTTTTTTTTATTCGCACAATAACTTAACTCTCTCTCTCTCTCTCTCTCTCTCTATATATATATATATATATATATATATATATATATATATATATATATATATATATATATATATATATATATATATATGAAAGATCGGTTTCCGGTGATAACTTAAAAAATAGTGAGGACTGCGACGACAATTCTCCACCATCATTTCATCAAAGGCACAATTCACAAACATCAAACTCAATACTTGGACGTGGTGTGTTCGCATGTAAACCGGTGTGTTCGCATGTAAACCACGGCTGTGGTAATTAATATGGACTCGAAGATTTAATCACATGCGGCGACCATCCATGGAAAGTTATTTAATTGGGTTTTATTATTTACTTTTGTTTATTTTGGTTTTTTTTTCTTAAAAAAATTAAATAGATACATGCTCGGTTTTAACCTTTTTCATTTTTTTTCCATTTTTTTCCATTTTTCTTTTTAAAACAATTATTTATTATTTTTATTTTTTAATATCTTTACTACATAGTTGAAGATACTAGTGTTTTTCTTTATTTTTGTTTTTATTTTTTTATTTTTTGATTTTTATTTTTTATTTTTTTTAACTAAATATCGGTTTGAGTTTTTACTGTTTAACAACTATAAAATTTTAAATAAGAAGAATACTAAAAATCACAATATTTTTCGTTCATATTTTTTTTTGAATCATACTAATTTTGAATCACGTTATTTTGAATCAAATCATGTTTGAATCATATAATTTTGGATCAATAATATATTCAATTAAATATAATTTTTGTCCATAAAAAATTATGGATAATTACATATTTTGAATCATTTAATTTTGAATTTTAAAATGTATAATTAAAGATTATAAAATATTCAAGTATAAATATTTTTAGATCATAACAAATTAAGAATCATAAACAAGTTATTCAAAAAAAATTAAATTATAAATATTTTAAAAATCATAAACAAGGTATATACTAATATATATGTTTGTAATACTTTTTCAAAATAAAATGGTGAAGAATTCTCTTTTGCGTTCATTTAGTAAACAAGTCCAAAAAAATTGTTGATTTTTATATGATTCATTTATTTTTGGTGTTTCACAATAATCTTAGGGCCCAACGGTGTGTAAGGTCGTGAAAGTAACATACGCTAATCACTGTTATTATTATAATTACTGAGTTAACTTTAACAATTGACAGCTTAAGACCATCTACAACTCACTTGTTCATTTTGTGTACTAAAATGAAAAACAAATAATAATGCAATTAGTGTTTTATTTCCAAACATAAGTTATTTTCAAATGACAAATAATTTCAAGTATATTTTTTTAACTTATAAAGATTTTCCAAAACTCTTGTATACTACTCAGCTTTTAACAAATTTTTATTACATTTTTTATTACAATATTTTATCATATCACAAATTATGATATCGTGTTTTAACTTTATAAAGTACGTCATGTATTTTTCTAAAATGTATTAGAATTTTTATAAGAATTCCATATATAAACATTATTTTGTTTATGATTAGTTAATCTCATTTAATATATAACATCATATTACATATATTAATTATGATATTTAAACTATAAGTAATAAATTAAAATAAACTTGGTATGTATAAATCTAATGAATAAAATTGATAATTGAACATTTCATTCAATTTTGATGTAAATGAATGGTGTAGTTTCATATTTAGTATTTTAATATTCATCATCCCTAATAAATAAAAGATATTTTTATCGCATGTTACATTTTCATTTAGTTTATTACATGTAATTTTGTAGTTATTTCAAATTAAATTTATTTTACATGTCATTTTATGGTTTTTTTTTTATTTTATTAAATTGTAGATGGTATTTATATTCAGTAATAAATACATATGACTTTCATTAATGAACTTTCATTCTAATTTCAAACTACTAAATTAAAGATTCGTTAATTTTCTTTAGTTATTTATTTAAATTATTTGTTTAAATTTAAAAGAGAAAAAAAAAACTTTAATTTTTATAATTCAATATTTTATTACTTTTCTTATAAATTCATACTTTGCAAATGTTTAGAATTTTATATTTTTTTTAATTAAACACATGTAATACATGAGTTTCACACCTAGTTTACATAAATAAAGTGAAAACGGGATTGAGATTCCTTATCTCCATTCTCTTTTTCACTCGATTTTCAACCAATTCATTTACAATCCATCCATTTAATGTACAACTTTGATGTAAATAAAAATTATAACATCAAATTTAGTGTTATATATTATTTTCATCAAGATGGACTTAAAAAGTGAGTTATATAATTTGAACCCTTTAGTTTTGGGTTTAAGCATTTTTTTGTTTATTTTATTTGACTAGTTACAACTTAATCAAATAATTCATATTTATAATACCATGTTATACATTAATTCATAATAAATAATCATAATATAATGTTTATTTAAAAGTGTTTTATAAATATAATATTTTTTATTCAATAGACATGCTTTCATAAAAATAGAAATAAATGTAATAAATAATATAATGTTTATTTAAAAGTATGTTATATATATATATATATATATATATATATATATATATATATATATATATATATATATATATATATATATATATATATATATATATATATATATATATAATCTGGGGTCTATGATTATAGGGGCCAACCGTTTCATACTCATTGATCATAATTGTCCAATCGTTCGTTAAATCTTGAACCTTGATTTTTTTTTTTCATCAAATAACAAATATTATTTTTAAAACTTCGTAGAAGAATGATGCTTCTTGTTTGATTTGGATTCTATAAAATTATTGTAACAAAAATAAAATAATACATGTTTGTTAAAATCTAATTGGAAAAAGAGTTTTGACAAAAAGAATTTATTAAACATATACCTTTTAATATATTATTTAATAAAATAATATACTAGCTATAATTTATAGTTTAATATAAAATGTATCAAAATATACGCACAAAATCCTAAGGTGTAAGAGTATCCATCCAAGATCGTTGCAAACCGATTTGAGGCTCGAGACAAAATCAGAAAAATAACCAGGCCTACTAACCATCCAAAGAATTCAACTATAGACGCCTTGACTAATTTCGTAACACATTTAAAATATATATAATACCGAACATAAATAATTTTAGGGCCTCAAACCATGATGAGGCCAGGGGCCGTCGCTCAACTCCACCCCCCCCCCCCCCCCCCTCCAATTTCTAGAAAAATTGGTCCGATTCAGTTCAGTCCTAATACACATCCTTAAGTTATAATAAATAAACTAACTTTTGATAGGACTTAAACGAGTTGTATCATATGCATATAAAATTGTATGGGCCCAACGATTATAAGAACCAGAAAACCCAGACCTAAACAGGACTCAATAGGTACAATCCAAGGTCCATTAATTTCTCCCAAACTAGTTCGGTTCGATCTAAATGTTCACCCATAGGCTAGTCTCATACTAAGGTCCCGTTTGATACGAATCTTTCCAGGTCCAAACAGATCTTTCTGATTGAATGGACCAGAAATATTGTTTGATTTGCACAAAAAAAAATGGATCTTTCCCACAAAGCTCTAAAATCATATCTTTCTGGTTGAATGGGTTAGAAAGATAACCATGCACCAAACTCCGCCTCTTTCTTTCTTGGATTATTAATTTTTTTAAATTTATTTTTTATTGAGTTAATATTTTTTTAATGTATTATTTTATATTAAAAAAATATTGTTTTAATATATAATATTTATGTATTAATAAATATTATTTTATTGGATTATTAATTTCTTTAAAATATATTTTTTTAAATTTTCTTTTTATGGATTAATTCTTTTTATTGGATTATTATATATTCATAAATATTATTTATAATATATAATATTTATATATTAATAACTATTATTTTATTGGATTATTAATTTTTTTTAGTTAATTTTATTAAATTTATTTTTATTGGATTAATTCTTTTTTTTTACAATACCACCACCATCCTAATTTATTTAAAAAAATCTCATTCATCCCATCACTATCAGACATAAGTCGGGTCATTTTTCATAATTCAGTACAGTCAATCAGATGTACAATCAAACAACATGGTTTCTTTCTCAGTTAAAAAAATTTCCCAGACAGAACTTTACCAAACAGAAACTATCAAACGGTACCTAACAATAAATGAATATACGAGACTTGTTTATAAATGGTGCTACTATATATATCCTTCACTCGTAATTATTAAAAAAAAAAAAAAAAACATGGGAGATAAACATACCCACTCACACAGGACAACAACAAGCAATTGGATCGATACGTATAGAATTAGAATTAGCCTTTATAAACCGTAGCGTATTGCATAGTGGGAATAGGTTTATATACTAAAAAGTACAAATGTTTATGGGTTATTGAGGTGGCATGATGTTGTAGGTCGTGACAAACTTATGGACTTTTGTAGAGGTCCAACGATGGGGATGATCTAAGCTTTTGACTATTGTAGAGATAAATATTTTGTTAAACTGCGTAAGCTCTTCTATCTAGGTGTCATAACTTCTATTTATTTTAAAGAAGTTATATGTTTAATTAACAAGGTTCTTTGTGAAAATTATTTCTTTGCAGAAAAACTTCGCACCCATTGGGGAGATCGGGGAACTTGTAAAAGTTGATTATCATGCAGGGAAACTTCCGGAAGATTTTCCAGAGGGAATTTACATTAGAAATGGTATTACTAGTTAATATATATATATATATGGTGAGGTTTAGTAGAGAACTAGGGGTGTGCAAAAAAACCGCAAAATCGTAAAACCGAGCCGAACCGGCCGATCCGAAACCGAAAAAAACCGAAACCGAAAAAAACCGAAACATAAAAAAACCGAAACCGAAAAAACCGGATATCAACGGGTCGGTTTTGGTTTTGATACTTAGGTATCCGCGGATAACCGAACCGAACCGCTTGATATATATATATATATATATATATATATATATATATATATATATATATATATATAATATTATTCATTTTCATTGAACTTTTAGCCATATCCCAAACAAATATTATGATCGGCTATTCCAATTTTACACTTCTACGTTATGGTTTCTTCTATTTTTATTTTTATATTTATTATACCAATTATATTGTATGTTATTTGAACTTTATTATGTTTTTATAATTCTTTGGACTTACTAATTTTTAGAAAGAAATCGTTGGAATGAAGTTTGTAATTTTAATTGTATTTAAATTTTTATATTTAGCGGGTACCCGTGAACCGAACCGTGGTTACCCGCCTTTATACGGTTCGGTTCGGTTCAGTTTTTTTGCTAATTCGGTTCGGTTTCGGTTAGTGCACATGCAGTACCCGTCCCGTGATGACGGTTCACAATTTTATTACTATCCGAACCGAACCGCCCCATTAACACCCCTATAGAGAACCATAAATAACCAATAAACTAATTTTTTTTTCAACTTTTAGAACTTATTTTTTATCAAAAATAAATAAATAAATAAATAAACTAAAAATACAGAAATTCATATGAATTTAGATATTTTTAGATTTTTTTCGATAAAGAATAAGTTCTAAAAATTAAAAAAAAAGATCTGATTTATTGAAGAACCAATAATTATGATTATCTATTGAACTTTTCCATATATATATATATATATATATATATATATATATATATATATATATATATATATATATATATATATATATATATATATATATATGTTAAACGTAGCTAAATGGAAAACATTGGCCCAAAACAAGAAAAGACAATCAAGGCCTTCGTAAATATATCAACAATATGATGGATGAAACATGAGGAAGAGAAATAGTTCCATGTTGAAAGTGATGACGAGTGAAATAACAATTAATTTTAACATGTTTTGTCCGCACATGAAACATCGAATTCTTTGTAGTCATTATCACACTCTTATTGTCACATTGCAATGGGGTAAGCTGTGAAATATGAACACCCATATATGCAAGTAAACATCACAGCCACACAATTTCACAAGTAGTGACAACCTTAGCTCGATACTCAAATTTTGTAGATGATCGAGAGTCAACATCTTGTTTCTTACTCTTCTATGAAATCAATGAATCTCCAAGATAAATATAATACCCAGACGTAGACTTGCGATCATAAACATTGATATCCCAATCAACATCACTATAAGCACACATCTCAAAAGAGGAAGTGGAAAGAATTACAAGAATGTGAAATGAAGTACTCAAAGATATCTCAAAATACATAGAACTCCCTAACGAACCATAGAAGGAGCAGTGAAAAACCGGCTAACCACATTAATTACATGAGCAATAACAAGCCTAGTGATGGTAAGATAGACAAAACTCCCCATAATGATATGATAAAGACTTGGATTGGATAAGGGAACACCGTCAGTTGGTGAATACTCGGCATTACTCTCTAGAGGTATGCCAATTGTTCTGTTATCTGAAAGTTGTACGCATTCACATAAATCTGAGATATACTTCGTCTAAAATAAAAGATAACCTTTTAGAGATTGTGCATCTTCAATCCCCAAGAAACAACGCAGTAAGCACAAGTCTTTCATCAACATATAAGGAAAGAAGGACCAGACATGCACTTGTATATCTAACAAACAAAGCAAAATCATGATAGCTAAGTTGAAAATCAAGGGAAATAATTACCATAGAAAATTTTTCAAACCAAGCACGAGGGACTTGTTTGAGACCATACAATGCATTCTGAAGCCGACAAACTTCACCTGGACGGTGAGCAATACCTAATGGAGGAGACATGCATACCTCCTTATGAAGATTTGCATTCAAGAATGCATTCATGACATCCACTTGATAAATATTCAATTGTTGAATATAATAAAGAAAAAGTTGAGTAAAAACAGTAGTTATTATTTTACAACTGGAACAAAGTCTCTTCATAATACATAACATACTCTTGTGAATATCATTTAACAATAAGTCTAGCTTTATAACGTTCAATAGACCCATTAGACTTGGTTTTGATTTTGTATGCCCAATGACAACCAATCGTGTGCTTTCTAAGAGGGAGTGAAACCAAATCTCATGTATGAGTCTGAGAAAGAGTTGCAAGTTCCTCAGCCATAGCATTCTGCCAAAGAGGACCAGAGACAACATCTTTGTAAGACATTAGTTTAGAGAGTAGGTGTATATTCCCAATAAGGGAGGCAAATGTTGGCGAGTAAGACAAATATACAAATTCTAGAAGCTTGGTAGACTTTTCACTACGATTGGGTCTTGATGGTGGGGGGGTCCTGAGTAATAGTAGGTGTGGGATCAGAAGTTTGAGGTTATCTTGAGAAGTGATAGAGGTGGATTCTGAGCAGTAGTGGATGTGGGATCAAAATTTGGAGGGTTATGTAAATTAGGAGAAACATCATCAATGTTAATGCTAAATGGATCATTAATCCAAAGTTATGACTGAGTCACGTTATGTAACTGAACATGAATGTTATAGAAAGGGATATGATCCGAAAAGTGACATGTTCAGAAATGTACAATCTTTGACTTGTTAGGTCGTAACACCGATATCCTTTTTTTACTAATACCATACCCAAGAATACACATAGAGCAGATTTTTGAGAAAACATGTTTCGTTCTGCGTGAGCTCATAAAACAAAGCATGTAAACCAAAATACCCACAATGAAGAATAACCAGGAAGTTTTCCATACAGTTTTTCATAGGGGGGCATTCTTGAATTATGTGTTGTGGGAATATGTATATATGTAGCGGTAAGGACGGATTCTCCCCAAAAAGTACTAAGGACTTGAGAGGGAAAAAGCAACGATCATGCAGTTTCAACATGGTGACAGTGTTTTCTTTATACAATACCATTTTTCTGATGAGTATCAGTACATGATCATTGGTGCATAGTTCCATCATATGCAAGTAATAAAGTAAAATCATTTGAAGTATATTCCCCTCCCAAATCACAACGGACAGATTTTATAGCAGTGGAGTGTTGAGTCCTGACTAGGGATCTAAATCCGCTATATATGGAGAAAAATTTAGACATGCACTTCATAAATAAACCAATGTATAATGAGTGTAATCATTTATTAAGGAAACATAGTAAGTAAACACTCCTTTAGAGGAAACCGGAGTAGGAGCCCACACATCAGAATGCACAAGATAAATTGGAGCAATAAAATGAGTGACACTTATATTAAATAATAGAGCAGAAAATTTTGCCATTTTGCATCCACAACAGTCAGAAATATCATAAACATTCATATGACCTAAAACACCAGTAGCAACAAAAAAAACTATAAATGTGAAGCTGACAAATTTCCTAAACATGAATATCAAAGATAAAAGTCAGAAGACAAATTACCCAAACGAAAAGAAGATAAATTGATACTAATGGCAGTGACATAAGATACTTTGATTTGATCCAAGACATATACTTCTCCTAATATACGGTCAGTCCCAATCACCCTCTGAGAGTGAGAATCAAAAACACAAGAAAGAGAATCAGAAAAGAAAACTCAATAATTGGATTTACACAACTGATAGATAAAGCAAGAATTAAATCAAGTGTAGGAATATAATACACATCACTAAGAGATATATGATGGGTGACTGTAGAACCAAAACCTTCTATAGGCATAGGTGTAGCACTAATAAACATAACTGAAACTGATGATCCATAAAACAAAGAAACAAAGGATGAATAAAAAAGGTGACATATGATGAGATGCACTAGCATAAAAGATCCATAGATATGAAGGAATACATGAAGTATTGCATGATGAAAGACTTGAATAAGATATGAATGTAAACATGGTTGTATAATTGAGAGCAAGGAACTGTTTGAACTGCTCAAGAACTTGAGGGTCTAACATAGAAGATGACGTGATGGTAGCATGGACATTAGTTTCTACTATAGATTGAAATGATCTAGATGATTGATCTTATAGTTGCTTGTCATTGTTCAATCACAATGGGAATGGAGACTTCTAATGGTTCTTCAATGTGCACTAAGCATACTCATCAAAAGAATTTTTTCCAAATTAGTCTATTCTTTGGAGCCATATTGGCAGTAAACAATCAAATAATAATAAACCAACAACATATGAACAGATCAAACTCCCAAAACCACTAATGAAAATCAACATTCAAGAGAACATCAAAACCTCATAATCGACAAATACCGGCAATAACTAAACAAACTAAACTTTGAAAAGTAACCAATGACAACAAAAAATGATTTTTGAACAAAAAATCATGGCGTGGTCATAATAATCATGGTGAGAAATCGGTGAAAAGGGTATTTCATGGCACAAAATATAAAAATTGGCGCGAAAAACGTTGAAATAGGAACAATCAAAACCCTTAAAATGATAAAATCAAACAAAACAATCCATACAAAATACATAAACAATTTAGAAAATCATACCGAACATCACCAAAATTTCCGTGGAACGCCACAACCTCATTTATATGTCACCCCAACAATCTTAAATGACAGATCAAATATAACTCTGATACCATATGAACTAATGAACAAAATACCGCTAGGGTTTCATTATTGAATAATAAAAGAGTACAATTACAAAGAAAAGGAAAGACTAAAGGGTCAACATTGGCCTAAATTAAGAAAGGGCACAATAAACTAATTAGGCTAACAATAACATCATCGAAGAAAAAATCATATGTTCACAAATTTTATTTGGTGTTATGATGTTTATG